ACCTTCAAGCCTTTAAGACCCCAGATGCTATATCTTTTGATAGCCGGGCACCATCAGCTTTCTTCACCACATTTGCTTATGCACCTGCTTTGTCTACAGTGATTGTGTCAGGAAGGTGATTATCAAAGAATGCCAATTTAATAGAAGAAAGTATTCTTGCATTGAGGGAGTACTTGAGTGTCCATCTGCTACCTTGATACTAAACCTATACATATATGCACATAGATCTATTTCCACATCCTCACTATCAGTTTTAATCCCCCGGCTGCCCTCTGAGGGAGGGATTGAGACTCGGTGGTTGTGTGACTTGCCCAGCATCTCCCAGCTTCAATCCAGTGGAGCCAGGGCTGGCCCTGGCATCCCAGGGATTAGAACTGGCAGTCAGCCAGGCAGTGGGCGCAGGTTCTGGCACTCCTGAACAAGCCCGACCCTCACCCTGCTTTCAAGGTACCCCTAGTCTGATAGAGAAGGCATCACTTAGCACAGAAATCGTGACTGAGGGAAACCTAGGAGCCAGTCATGGGGACCAGACTTTCTTGGGAGGCAGGGAGGGTTTCCTGGAGGAGGTGAGCATGCAGTGTAAAGGCTGCTGGGATAGATCATCTTGATGGGTGCTTGGGGAGTGAGGGGCTTCTTGGGAGAAGACTCTGGTTTCCCAGGCCACAGTGAAGAACCCCGAGGGAATCCCAGGCTCCCAGAGAATGACTGTCCATCTTCAAGTTGTACAATCTTTAGCTTCCCCTTTTAAAAGTGTTTCATTTTTGGTGTTGGGTTTTTTAAAAAACTCTATTAAGATACAAGAGAGTCCACATCCCATACGATCCTCCCACTTTAAAGTGGACAATCCAATAGCTTTTAGCTTATTCACAGTCATGCATCCATCACCACACGTCAGGCTTAGAGCATGTTTTATCACCCCAGAGGAAACCCAACACCCCTTAGCCTTCCTCTTCCTCACCCCAGCCTCCCCACCAGGCAGCCCTCCTCTACCTGCTGCCTCTATAGCTTTGTCTGTTCTGGGCATTCCATGCTGATGGGATCATCCAAGTGTGGCTGTTGGTCCCTTGCTTCTCTCACTTGGGAGCGCTGGTAGCGGAGTGGGTTAAACAGCAAGGTCAGCAGTTCAGAACCACCAGCCGCTCCAGGCTCTCTACTCTCGTAAAAAGTGACAGTCTAAGAAACTCACAGGGGCAGGTCTGCCCTGCCCTATAAGGTTACTAGGGGTCCACATTGACTAGACAGCAGGACAGTCAAACCCTGCCTTGAGGTCACTGTGAGTCGACATCGACCAGATAGCAGGGGGTTGAGTTTCTCATTCGGCATGTCTCCAGGGTTGGAGGTTACAGAGTCTTCCTTGTGAGAGCCGAGAGCCAGCAGGGATCTGAGGGACTGTCCCACCTGACTCCCCCTCCCCTCTTATAGGAGAGAGACTTGCTCCGGTCCCTCAGCAAGGAGGTCACCTCCCTCGGCTGTCACCTCCTCCTCTGGTTTCGGGCTCCAGGTGAATGCAATGGGAAAGGACAACTTGTTCGGGAAGCTGTCATCCGGAGCACAGGTCTCTATGCGCCGAGAATTTCCACAGTCCGTGGTGCATCTTGGCATCTTGAGCGCGTCTTCAAGGATTTGTGTCCGCTCATTTAGAGTGTTTTGTTGTGGCGTGTGGCCTTTCCATTCCTCACAACTTACAACACTTTTGTTTAGGTCTCCCTCTGGGGCGATGTTGCTGCTCTTGGGGCACTCAGTACTGGGAGAACCGGTGTGTGTGTGTGTGGCAGAGGTGGGGATTCAGATTCCAGGCCTTGCCCCGTCTTTTCGCAGCTGTGTGCCCGGCGTGGTTGCTGACGCTCTCTGTGCCTCAGGGTCTCCCCTGGAAAAGTAGGAATGACATTGTGGGGGCTGTGGAGAGGGAGACACGAGCTGAAGCATGGGGTGGGCTCCATCCCTGGGAGACCCTCGGGGGAGACTGTGGGGACTTCCCAGGGCCCTGGAGGAGCCCATGAGAAAGGTGACTGCCTGGTCAGCTTCGGCTTCCTTTGAACCCTGTTCCTGCAGGGACTTGGCCCCATCCTTCTTCTGCCAAACTGGCACATCCCAGCACATTCTTCGGCTCTGCACCCTGAGTCCTCTTGCTTTCTGCCGGTTTTGACATCTGCAAAATGGGGTTGAGGAATGTCCATGGGGACCACTAAGGCAGCCAAGAGGCACCTGTGGGGTATGAAGGGGAGAGGGGAGGTGGCGGGGGCAGGAGAGATGGCGCAGAGGAGAGGGAGGAGAGCCCAGTCTCTGCTGACTGAAAGATGTAAGCCAGAGCTATGGCACCTGTTCTGGGTAGGTGGGTGGAGAGGAACACCTGGCTTCCCTTCGCCTCTCGCAAAAGATGTGCTGTGGGGGAAGTGGGGGAGGTGTCCCTGCAGTGAGGGCCTCCTGCTGTGCTGTGTGTGCAGGGGACGGAGGAAGAGCCTCTGGGACGGGTCTTGATTAAGCTCTTGTATGTGACAGGCATGTCACCTGCCTGCTCTTCCTCGTCCTCAATAGAGTGTTCAAGGTTCCACTCTTGGTGTCCATTGACAAGTGGGGAAACTGAGGCTCAGAAAGCCGGGGCCACCAACCTGGTGACACCCAGCCGGTGAGGGGCTGAGCTAGGAATCGAACTCAGGACCAAACTGTCCCCATCCTGGGGGAAAGAGCAGAAAAAAGACAGGGGGCAGCCGCTGAACTGCTCTAACCGTTGGAGCCTTTGGAACCCCACCCTCTCAGCTGCTGTGGGGATTCTGTGGGTGGTGGGAAAGGCATCGTAAATATGCATGACATGCAAATAGATGGCTTGGGAGAGGGAGGGGGAAATACTGTGGGGGCCGCATAAGCCAGGATGCCGCAGTGCTTTGGAGAATGGAGTGTTGTATAAACACTTAGGTTTCCATGACAATGCTCCTGTTGTCCCCCTCCCCAACATCTCCGGAGTGTGCTTCAAGGGTCTTAGGCCAAGGGCTTTCCCTGGTGCCTCCTAAGTGCCGTTCTCCCTCCCTGCAGGACCCTGTGAGCACAGGACCTTTCCAGTGGCGCCTCCCCTGCTGGCACATGGTGGCCCCTGCATGACCAGGAGCTGGTCCCCCGATGCCCTGGAGCCCTGGCAGGGCCCCTGTCCCACACTACTTCCACCAGCACCTCTGACATGTGCCCGGAGGCATGAACGTGCCAGCCCTTGGTTCAGCGCCTGCTCCCGAGGTGACAACTGCTGACTCCCTGCCGACTCCCAATTCTCTGCGTGTGGCTCCCTGCTTGGTAAGTCAGTGCGTCCACAGTCCTGAGCACACAGCACTCAGGCTGCCCACCCACCCACCACGCTTGGCACCGTTGGGAAGTGAGCAGCGCCCACATGCTGGCAGCGGCCTCAGTGAGAGCGTTTGTGTGACTGGGCACGCTTTCCAGTCTTCCTGCTCGTCGTAGCCCTTCCTCCCAGCCAGCGTGGGGTACAGTCACTGTGTCCATTTTACAGAGGAGGAGACAGCCCCAGGGAGGGGGAGCCACCTGCCCGACACACAGCAAGCCCAGCTGACTCCATCTCAGCAGCTCGATTTTGCTGCATTCAGGGGCCTGGGGCAACTCACTGAACTCAGGCTCTGAAAGGGAAGGGACCTCTTAGCCCTTGGGTGGGGCAAGTAGGACCTTCTGAGAGCCTGAATCTTGGGACCCCGACTGCTCCTGCCTCCCTCTTCCCACCAGCAGCCTTTCTGATGTCTGCCTGCCCCTCCCACCCACTCACAGCCTAAGCCCGGCATGCTTCCCGCAGCAAGGGCCCCAGTTGCAGGCGCCTCTGCCCCATCCCTCAGGCACCTGCCCACATCCTCCACCTGGTCCTCCCTGCCTGCCTCCTGTGGCCATCCTGAAGCTTGGCAAGGCCGAGTGACTTCCCAGGATCCCCCAGCCACCACTCAGTGTGCGTGGGACCGCTGGGTGAAGATCTGCCCCTCGGGCTTGCCTCGGCTCCCACAGGCTTCAGTCCCCACTAGGCAGCCAGCAGCAGACTGGCACTTGGCACCGAGTGGGCACCCAGTAGGTAGTTATGGAAGGAAGGGCAGAGGGAGAGAAGGAGCGGCCGCTCTCTCACCTCCCTTGACCCAGGCACCAATAAGCCCCAAGAGCCCATTCGCTTTCCAGCTAGCTCTGGGGGACCCGTAGTCCTTCAGCCGGCCAGCGGGCCCCTCTGGTCTCAATGTCTTTATCTACCAACCGCTGCCTAGCCTCCTCACGGGTTGGGTATGGGAAGGGGAAAGACTCGTCGATATGCATGATATGCAAATGTCACCGGATAATGAAAAACCCATGAAGTGTGCTGTAGATAACGTAGGTAGAAGTACTTCTTAGAACAAGAAGGAGCACTCGAGTATGCGCGCGCGCAATCACACACACACACAGAGTGCCTGCCTTATTAATAACTGTGAAAAGGACTGGTTAATTAGCTGCCCCTAAGCTGGCTCCCCTGCCCAGCCCCCAGTCTGTCATGGAGACCACAGACAGCTGTTGGGCTTGGCTGAGAAGCTGTCACAGGAGGAGCTGGGTGCAGGAGGTCTCAATCGGAGGCATGTGGATCTCCTGGCCCTCTCCAGGGACTAAGTGTGTAACTGGAGCAGCCTGGTTCTCTGCCAGTGTTTCCTGAGCGGTTACTATGTGCCGGTGCTGTGCCACGTGCCTCCCTCTCGCCATCAGGTGTTGGGAAGGCTGGGTCACCGGCCTCCAGGAGAGGGCTCACCCTTCAATCACCCACCCCGTCCTTCCTAACAATGGCAGGCTTTCAGTGCCCACCTTCACCCCCAGGCCCAGGCATGGCCAGAGGCTCAGATGGAGTCTACTGGCAAGGCGGCATCTCTGACATTCCCAGCGTGTGTGGCCCAGTGACAGAGAACGGGAATCCTTGGCACAAGCTGAGAGAGCAGCCATCCGCGTTGCGAGGAAAGATGGAGGCCCGGGCAGCAGCGAGGGAGGTGTTACTGCTGCTATTTTGCTAACAAGCTGGTTATTTAAAGAACAGGCCCTGCTGAGGCAGGGAAACCGAATGGGGTGCCTCCGTGCCTAGGGCAGGGGCAGCCAGGGTATCCCCCAGGGGTGTGAGGCCCAGCGGGGCTGGGCAGAGTGGCTGCGAATTCATTCACGCCTTCATTTTTCATCCATTTGTTGGGATTATTAGTAAAGATCCTTGGTGACGCAGCAATTAAGTGCTCTGCTGTTAATTGGGAAAGTCTGTCTTTTGCCTAGCGACTGCTCTGTTCTGGAGGGCTGCTACGAGTCAGGATCGAAGGCCACAGCACTTTTATTGTTGTTAACAGCAGCACGAGAAGAGCCTGGCGAGAGAGGACCAGGGACCCTGGCAGGAGGGGGTGTAAAATAAGGTGACCAGATTTAAAGCGGGACACCATTGACCGGGGGCTGGGAGTGGGTGGGCGGTTTCTTGATTAAAAATTTGGTCTATATGGACCAAATAAACCGTTCCTTAGCTTGTCGTGCATTCTTTCCAAAAATCGGGACTTTTTAAAAATGCCGAAAATCGGGACTGCCCCGCCAAAAGCGGGACGTCTGGTCACCTTAGTGTAAAGGCGTTTCTGAGAAGATGGCGGGGCTGTATGTATTTCCTGACCCGGGGCTTGGTGCTAATCCATCGCCCTAAGCAGTTGTGTCCAATGCACTTTCCTCGGTGTGTTCCATTTCATGGTGAAAAGGCTAAGAAGCAATTAGACCAATGATGAACCCCCAGCCCGACCCACTGCTGCCCGGTCGTGTCCGTCTCTGAGCGACCCTGTCGGACAGAGAAGAGCTGCTCCCAAGGGTCTCCAGGGCCGTAGATCTTCAGGGGAGCACACTGCCTCATCTTTCCTCCAGAGAACAGAGGATGGGGCAAATTACCAGCCTTTTGGTTCGATGTTGGGTGCTGTACCTATGGCGCCACTGAATACCTAATTACTATTCAGCATTTATTCAATGTCAAACTCTCCCCTAAGCATGTTTCTGGGTGATTCCATTGTTTTACCCATTTTACAGAAGAGCAACATGAGGCTCAGAGAAGCCCGAGTTCTCAGGTGGTGAAGATGGGCTGACAGAGGCCAGCTCAAGTGACCCCCATGGACCCTCTCTCTCATCTTTGTGTCTTGCAAGGATTGGGCACGCGGGGGCTGGGGGGGGGACACAACACGGTCCCCAAGGGCAGCACATTCCTCCAGTTGGACCCAGACATCTGTCTGTGCCGATCACATCTGTAAGGTGTGGTTGGGGTGGACGGGCTGGTGGGCGTGGTCTCCAGCAGCTGGTCTGGGGAGTCCCACCGAGCCATTTGTCAAGGATCAAAGGATAGGAATCAGTGGTACCCAGGGAAAAGTCAAGCCAAGGGGCCAGGGCAACCCTGTTCCAGGTTGAAAGAGACCATTCATGTGAAGACGAGGGTCAAACCCGGCCCCCCGGATGTGGGGCCAACTGCCATTTCTTGAAGACCTAGTGTGTGTCAAGAACATCTCTCACGACAGTCTGTGAGATCTGTGATACTGGTCCCATTTGACAAGTGAGAGGACTGAGGGGAAATGACGGGGTCAGAGCTATGTAGCCTGGGCGTGGTGGAGCAGCTCTGCCTGGCTCTTCCCGCCTCCGTGCATGCAGGAAGCACCTGGGTCCAGGGACCCATGGCTGGAGTGGAGCTCCGTGTGACTCTGAGGATGTGGCAGGGAAGGTGTGCACGGCAGGGGGCTCCTGAGTCCTGAAACCAGGGCACCAGCCCCACAGGCAGAGATTCTAATCCCCTCCAAGTGTCCAGGCCCCCAAAGCACATGGTCTTGGGTAGGGACTGATCTCATACCACGGCCCAGCTACATCAGGTGACAAAGAGAGGGCGTGAGTGGAGTGAAGACATGAACTGAGCGCCTCAATGCCCCAAAGACTGTGGGGTGGGGGACTGCAGTGTGTGGGACAGTCCGCAGCGGCCTGTCTGAACTGCCCTGTCGTGTGAGCTGGCACCTGAAGGTGGACCGCACTCCTTTGTCGCTGGGAATAATCCACATGTCTGTTGCTGCTGTGTGCTGTGTGCATTCTGAGGTCTAGCACACCCGATAGGGCAACATGAAAGGGCCCCCACGACATTTGCTAGGCTGCGAGATCTACAGGCGCTAATCAGTCTTCAGGGCTTACCTTCCACGGAGCCCACTGGGGCCCTGAACCGCCGACCTGGGGTCCGCAACCCCCGGCGCGTCCCGTGCCCCCACCGCTCCTTCCGCCTCCGGGGACTACTTCCACCGTTTTGCTGCAGTGCCTAGTAGTACACTCTGCGGCTATTAGAAACAGGCCGCGGATATAAATTGATTGTTGCAGAACTTCATAGCGTGTTGTTGGGTTTGAAAAAAAGAAGAAAAAGAAAGCAAGGCGCTTATAAACGGCATGGGCGGTGTGATGCCATTTCTGGGAGGGCGGCGTGTGTTTCTGACAGCCTCTCGCCGTGGTTGCACGGGGAGAGGCGTCTGGATGATCTTTGCTGTCATCTTCCTGCTCTCTCGGCTTTGGAGCCTCTCCTGAGGGTTAGGAGGTGGAGGGGGCAGAGGGCAGCATGTGAGCCCTCCCACCGACCTGCCAGGGCAGTTCTTTCCCACGCTGACAAAATGGCCTGACTCGGGGAATCAGCAGATCTGCGCCAGACCTCAGCTCCGACGCTTCTTGACTGTGCGACCTGGGACAAGCCGCTCACCCTCTCTGCAGCGGAGTCTCCTCTTCTGTGAAACAGCTAATAACGTCAGAGGGTGGCTTCAGCATCCAGAAAGACAGCTACTACCTTATAGACACTCAGAGAATCTTAGTCTTACATCTCAGGCATGGAGACGTCTGGAGAAGTCAACTCTCAGAACCGCGGGATCTTCGTCACGGAGACAGCTGGCAAGGGCAGACACGTGCATTTTACAAGTACGCAGCTGTGTCCTTCCTGAAGACGGGAATACATTCGGAGCTACCCAATTATCTACCAGCAAGCTGAGGTGGTTAGGAAAGTTTCCGCCCAGCCAGACCACAGCGTCCTCGGCTGTGAGCCACACAGTGTGCACAGCTAGACTTGTTGGCATGGAAGCGTGGCCGTGGCTCATTGTTGAGGGGGAAATGGGTTGCAGGATGCCGTGCACTGTTACCTCGCTTCGGTCAAGGAAAAGAAAGAAAGCATAAATGTACAGAGGATATGTGTGCTGCTCCCCAGACGCAGGCAGAAGGGCAGGCACCACGTGCTCGTGGAGTGCTCAGAGATGCACCCTTCGCATGGTGAGCTC